TTTTAGGAAATAAATTACATTACCCACATAGTTATATTTATGATTTCACAAAGAACAATAATAAAAATATATAGTTCAAATTATGTTTTTCTTAATAAATATACATTTTCTCACAAATTCACTTAATATGAGATCGAGGAAAGATATGAGATATATTTTTTCCATAATTATAATCTCAAAACTATAATCCCGAGATATCTTTATCCGCAAGACAAACAACCCCCATATATTTATCGGATGGAAGAGGAAAACCGAATATACTTTACTCTAAGCAGCAAATATCCCTTTATGATTGATAAAATTCCACCGATGTTATAGCATGGAAATGTCCTAAGCATAGTAAAATTCCACATCATTAATTCTTTCCTTCATTTTTCTAACATTCTTATCCTTTTCAAATCCATTTCATAGTTGAACTCTTCTTCTTATTATTGTTATTAATAATTATCTCAGCAATCTTTTGATCTTCATCTTAACTGTATCCCAAGAGGCAAGAAGATCATCTGGGAAAGTTAAAAAATGAATCTTTTTCAAGAATTCTTTGTTACTGCTATGGTAACACTTATATTTTCTTGTATAATTGTTAAATTTGTTTCTGCTGCAGTGTCAAAAGATGGAAGGGTTGATAAAGAGAAAATTGTTGTGGAGGAAGTCAAGATTACAAAAGGGTTGGTTGTTAGGAGAAGGAAAAGTAAGAAAAGAGTCAAATTTGTTGAAGAAGGAGTTGTTGGAAATGTTGATCGTGTAGAAAGAGAAATACCCAATAAAGATGGGGTTGAAGGGTTTGTTGAGAAAAATATTGAGGGTGTTTTGAGGAAAGGTGAAGACTTTAAGGGAGAGAAGGGTTTTGGGAATCTTGATTTGGTTGAGCATTGTGGTGGTGAAAGGGAGGTGGAAATTGAGGGTGTTTTGAAGAAAGGTGATGACTTTAAGGGAGAGAAGGTTTGTGAGAGTCTTGAGTTGATTGAGCAATGTGGTGGTGAAAGGGAGGTGAGTGATGGTCATGATGATGCAGATGTGTGTGGAAAAACTGGGTTGGTGGAGGAAAAGGATGAAGTTAAGAAAATTGAGGGTGTTTTAAAGAAAGGTGAGGACTTTACGGGCGAAAAGGTTTATGAAAATCTTGATTTGACTGAGCATTGTGGTGGTGAAAGGGAGATGACTGATGGTCATGATGATGCAGATATGTGTGGAAAAATTGGGTTGATGGAGGAAAAGGATGAGGTTAAGAAGATTGATGAGTTGCTTGTTGTGAAGGAGAAAGATACCGCGAATGCTGTGGTTGTTGATGAAGTCAAAGTAGGTGAAAATGAGGTGGTTGAGGTAGGAGGAGGGTTGAGTAAAGGGGATGATGAGAAGACGGATAAGATGGTGATGGATGAAGATAGTGATGATGATTGGGAGGGAATTGAGAGGAGTGAATTGGAGGAGGAATTTGTAAAAGCTGTAAACTTTGTGGATGGGGGAAATGGAAAGAATAGCAGTATGGAGAATTTGGGGAGTGAATTGATGATGCAATTGTATGGACTCCAGAAAATTGCAATGGAAGGACCTTGTCATGAACCTCAACCAATGGCATTGAAAGTCTACGCCCGTGCCAAATGGTATAACCTCTTACTCCAAAAAAATATGAGCTTTAGCATATTGTTTATACTCTATTTCAATTGCATTAATTTTTTCAAATGTTCTTTGATTTGTTTGAACCAAAAAAGTAAATTCTGTAGCGTATGCTTGCGTTTATCTAGTTAGTTGGATATTTGTGATTATTGGATTAGTAGAACCTTTTGTAGGAGAGGAAACGATCAATATATACCATGCCTATATACTTAAGAAAATAGAAGGAATGCTGCTGAAAATGGGGAGATCAATCACCATCTCACATATAGTTTTATTGACTTTGAGTCTAATCATTCACAATTGGATTCCTTGACAATGTTGGATGATCTGACCTATAGTAGCTTTCCCCTCGCATAGTAGGAGTAGCATTTATTCTTTACTTTTTTTCATCAAATCTACCATATCCTGGTTTTACCAGAGAATAGTTTGACCAGAAACTAGAATAGATTTCTATAGCCTGAATTTCGTAGTGAAATTGAGAGGACGGAGGCAGGAAACTAAGCATGATATTTAGTACATTTATGTCATAAGAATGTTAGAATAAAATACCTAGAGTAAATACAATAAGCAGTAAAGGACAGACCTTCAAACTACTTTCGGGTGTAGTTTGATTGCTAGTTATACAACAGGAATGAAAGCTGCTATCTGTAAGTGATGGAGGACAATAATTCCATTGTGCAAGGAATGCGTGGCAGAAAATGGGAAGCATGAATCAGGAAGTGGCTATGGAGCAGTATATTAAGCTTTTGTCGGACCATGTTCCCGAATGGACACATCATAGTAAGGTTGTAACTATTTCCCTTTTTTTGGATGGATTACTCATAGATTTTCTTGAATTGTCACTCCTTATGGTTTACCGTGCAGGATGATTGTGAAGTAGGGTCTTCAGAAACTAAAATGCATGGAGATCCAGATCCCATTTCAGATTCTTCTAATGATACAGGCAAAGATGAAAGGTACTTCTATTTCACTTTCCTCACTATGTCCCCTGAAAGTTCCTACTGTATCGTTTCATTCGACTCTTGATTATTTTTGCTCATCTGCCTTTCTCACTAGCTTTTGCATGTATCTACAGGACACATGAAATGAACCGTGCTGCAGAAGGAGATGAAGGTGAAAAGGTGATTCATACGATTTTCTAACTCAATTTAATTCTGTAGTGATGTTCACTTGTTTGGAGAATCCAAAGGATCTATGTTCCATGTAGTTGAAACTTGGCCCTCAAACCTGCTGTTGGTTGAATTTTAACTTCAAATCTGGTGAAAATATTAAATGTCACATTGAACTTTTTATTAATTCTCTTGTTTGCCAAAAAAAGAAAAATCACTCCACATGACTGAAGTTTTCTTGGATAATTGCAAGTTCAAAGATGCAACTGTTCACTTCCAGGATAAGAACATAATGATCTAGTTAATAAAAACATTTGCTGTTGTTAATACCAGATTCTTTGAGGTATCTTCTTGTTCTTTCTGCATTTCCCTTTGAGTTCTTAAAGGTTAAATTGCCTTGTTAGGTTTTGTTTCTTAGGTGATCTTGTTTTTTCAAATGTCTAGCAGACATCAATTTTCCGGTCATCACTCAGACATCCTTTTAGGTGAATCCTAGTCCAATTTTTTGAGATTTGTCCTTTTGATTATGAGGACCTTTTTTTTTTATTATTAGAAATACTGTATGTAATATCTGGGCTTTAATTGCATCTCAAAGAATATCAATCAAGAACATACTCACTACTTGAGACTCTGTTCTGCTAAACTCATCAGGATCAGTCACATCAGTGTAGTTGGCTTCTTGGAACAATACGACTATTCTCACAATTTGCATCTCTTTGCCGAGTTATAGTTAGTTTACAGTAGACCATTTAAAAGAGTTGCTTAATTTTCCATTCGCCTTATAAGTGGAGTTGTTTGAACATTAAATTTTATAGTTGACTCCTTTTATTGTATAATGGCTTCATCTTTTAAATTCTTGGTAAATATAGGAACCAGTGATGTAAACTATTTATCTGTACTGTCAGATTACAAATGCATCCATTTATATCTGTTGAATTGATGATAATTGATAAACAACTCATACAAGCACCCGAGAGTAAACATAAGATCCTGCTGTTGCTTCTGTATCTTGGTTCATGAAGTAGGATACTTGAGTATATGATCTCAAAATCTCTTTCGTTTACTCTGGAAGAAAACTTCTGCGACATTCTTCTTTTATACCACTTTATCAATTTTATGCAGGTTTTTGACAATGATAATAGTAGTGTTAGTCATTCCAAATGTCAAACCCAACTTTAGAGTTAGCAATGGGCCCTTAATATTTTTGGTATTCAAGAACCAATTCTCCATCGAAATCAGTGTAAAGTAGAATTGGTTCTTCATTCTAGAAAAGCCAATTTACTATCCACTATGATCCGAAAGACAAGTTTATTAAAAAACTATGTAGGTATAAAGGATGAGAACTTCTTTTGGTAATTTTGGTCCAGCAAGCCAATTTACATATATGCTTTGCAAGATAATGGCCATATAAAGACTAGGGATCTAACTTGAGCCAAAGTAGAAGATATAGGATCTTCCCAGATTGTTCAAGTTTAATATGAAGGCAATGAACGAGAGGGTGTGGTTAATAGAAGTGATAGATGTCTTGGCTAATGAGTGGACAACATTAAGATGCGAACATTCTCAAAGTTTAAGGGTGACTCAGAAATTTGATTGAGAAGTGTCTTGGGGCCTCTGATGCACTTTTAACTTTACTCCAATGACCTGTTCTTTTCACAACTTCAAATTGAATGTTACTTATATGTGAGCTAATTTCTACTTGGCTTTTATGATTGTTCATTTAGTAGATATCTGAATGCTTTTAAAGTTTCCCTTTTAGAGGTCAGATATGGAATATGTTTATAGTTCTTTTGTAATTCTTATATTGATGTTATGTTTGAAGAAATCGATAGGTAATTGCAGCACAGATAAAGCTTGGTTTATAGCGATTTTCATATGTTTCTTTCAGGAATAAGAATGAGAAGAACTCACCAGCAGGCATACTGCAAGTTCTGCTTCAAGAATTTGAGGTCCTTGCAGCTCATAACACAACTTGGTTCTCCCTAATGTTCCCTTATCAGATTATTATGCATCTACTCTGCATATGTATATAGTTATTTCCGCTAAATAAAAATGACACTATATTTAGATACACAATGATCTCTTGTTTCAGTGACTTTTTATTATATGAAGTGAATAATAATCTCTTTGGTTATTATTATTATTATATCCTTTTTGGTTCTGGACCTACTTTACTGCTTACAATAGTGTAAGGTAAACTAGCTTTAGTAGTAAACCTTGTCCTTATTTTACATGAGATATCTATAATGTAGTTAACACCAGTATTGTGCCTTATTAGTTCTTCCTCCCTGCAGACACTTGTGGAAACTTAGACTGCACTCTGTCACCAGCATAACCTGGATATCCGCCACCATTTCCTCCACCAATGCCACCACCATTACCAAATCCTCCACCAAAGCCACCGCCACTACCATTTCCTCCACCATATTGACCACCCTGGCCACTGCCAGATCCTCCACCAAAGCCACCTCCACCATATTGACCACCCTGGCCACTACCAGATCCTCCACCAAAGCCACCGCCACTACCTCCACCATATTGACCACCCTGGCCACTGCCAGATCCTCCACCAAAGCCACCTCCACCATATTGACCACCCTGGCCACTACCAGATCCTCCACCAAAGCCACCGCCACTACCTCCACCATATTGACCACCCTGGCCACTGCCAGATCCTCCACCCATCCCATAGTTACCATTTCCACCACCTGAGCCATAGCCTAAACCACCACTTCCTCCTATGCCTCCACCTCCAAACTCTTTTCCATAACCATTGGTTAGTGCTACATTGGCAGCCTTAGCCTGAGAAGTTGAAAACTTCCCTTCTCGGATTGCTTCAACTGTTACACGTCCATAAAGCCCAAAACACAACAAAACCAGGAAACTTAGACTCCATACAAAGACTTTGTGCTCTCCCATATCACTTCTCTTATGTTGCTCAACAATTTGATTATGACTAAGAGGACTAGATATCAAGAAAAGCCTTTTTGGAGAACTAACAAAACATAGAGAAAAATGTGCAATAGTTGTTAGGATAGAAAATAAAGTAGATGCTGCTGGCTTTTCTTGGTGGATGTTCTCTTCACTAAGATATAAATATGCAGAAAAGTATGATACATCTGTGCCTGTTGAGTATGATGGAAGGGTATAGGTAGTCAGGCCAATATGCATGATTCATGATAATTGAAAATTGCATGATGCAGATCAAGACTGCAAATTTCGTGTGGACGAAAAGTGGGGGAAACATGAATCTCTGTCAGTAACAAATGTAGCCTTCAACAGTTTTTAGTTCAAGCTTTTACATTTACAAGAATTTCAAAAAGTAAATATTCATGTTAACATCATATCAAATATTACTAAGGAGTGTGGGTATAGACACAATAGCAGAACAAACTTGTCAACTTAAAATCTTGAATCCACCTCTTATGTTCACTTTGGGATTCAAACAAGTTGGCTCAATAAGCTAGGCCATAAATCAATGTTGTCATATCTACTTGCCATTGAACACCTCACTGTCTTCTGAGGTGCCTACTCCATATCAGTTGCATCACCTCAGTAGACATGGAAGTGTTACATTTAGAAGTCGAAAACATAAAAGTTCTTTTGAAACAAACTGGTAACTTTAGCTTGTCAACTGCTACAAAGTGTATGGTTGCTTCTGGTGTCACCAAGAAGAGGTCCAAGACTAAGGTGGGCTTGTTTGGTGAATAATACTGATTTTTAACCCTGCCACTTCTCTTTTTTTCCTAAAATAACGACATATCCTGTATCATCCCACAAATGGAGTTTGCGGAGGATGGGGTGTACTCGGACCTTATCATGAGGAGATTGTTGCAAATATAATTAAGTAAATAAAAGTAGACTCTCTCTAACAACTTAAACTTTTAAATAATATAGTCACACACTTTCATAACACTCATTAAATACGAAAAAGTTTAATATCTAAATCGTGATGATGGTGATGAGAGGGAGTTTATCTTTGTTTATTTAGTTGATTAAGTAGATAATTGGCTTTTATCATTCTCCCACATCTCCTCTGTCCTTAATCGAGATATTATTACATATCTTCGTTTGTTAAAAGCTCGATAAACGAGAAAAAGTGTTAATTTTAGAACTCTTAAAAGATACATGCACTTGGAACTAAAATTCAAATTCCAAATTTTATGGTCAATCTTTTTCTAAAACATATTTTAGAAGATCCATTAAAGACTGTTAGCTCACAATAACAACATATTCAGTGTAATTTCACAAGTTAAGTCTGATGATTGGAAAAAGTGAATATACGCAAACCTTACTCCTACTTCAAGTAAGTATATAGACTCTTTTCGAAAGATCTTCGACTGTTAGCTCATGAGGACTAATCAACCATCTATCAAGGTTTTGTTTGGCAGCTGTCACTATTAAGGTTGAAATTAAGAGTGATTATTATAACATGAAAATGATATATGTAGGGCCAATAATAATCCAGAGGATTGAGGCTGTACTTAGCAGTTCACCAATTGTTATCAATCTCATTAATGCTGTCATTTAGTATTTTGATTATTTATGGAGTACAAAAATAAGCTAATTATAAAATAGTCGGCTATCTTCAAAATTTAGAAATAAAAAAACATATTTACTGAAGCTTACCTTTAAATTTCTACAGAAAAACATAATCTTAGATACGATAATCGGGATGTTAATCGGATGTTTCGGTTCAACTTTTGTACTTAACAATAAAACATGAGATGCGATTTTTCATTTTATTTCCGCTGAATCTACCTATTTTATTGGATTGTTGACCCCAGATACTTGAAACAAATATGACTTGTGTATTAATCCTTACATCCACATCTGTCACATAAGTTACATCACTAAACTTTGCACTCCGAATATTTTGTCTTAGTCATGCTCAATCTAAACCCTTTAAACTTTACCGTCTTTCTTAGACCTGCTCAACCTAAACAATTTTAGACTTCTAATATTCTGTCTTGTATAAATTATTAGGAGTAATTTAAAATAACTAAAATTTTGAATTCATAAATTTTAAACCTTGACTTTGTCTTTCATCATTATAGCCCCCAACACTAACCTAAGGGTTTAGTGCACCAAGTTGGTAGAATTGCTCTAAAACAAGTATACAACTAATAATACAATATGGTGATTTACACGGGAAACCTCATGAATGTACTTGCATAAAATTAAATCTACAACAATTATTTCATATGATTATACTTTTGTAATAAATATTATACAAAATCCCCGTTAGTTGTTTGGTCAATCACCAATCAATCATCTTAGCTAATTAAATTAATGGCCCATTAATCATCTTCATAAAAACACCGTAATAAAAAGAAATATTTATTTTTTCCGCAACACCACAATTATTAGTGGTAGACTTGTAGGGGCCATTCCAGCTAATTTCCATAAGATACAGACTATAAATAAGTGGTTTTCTTGTCAAATCACTTTCAAAAATATTATAATAATAATACTCGATACGTTTTAATTCATGTGATATCATTTGATTTGACATAAAATATTTTTAAACAAATTAAACTTATAGTTTCAAATAAATCTAAGCATTTATGTAATTATAAATTATTTATTAAAAATAAAAAAAAATACATAAATTATTTTTTATTATAAAAATATAACAACTTATAACGGATTAAAAAATATTACATAAATTAAATAAGAAAATATCATTTTCACTAAAAATATCATGGAATTTAGAGTCAATTTTGTGCGCCGAATTAATACTATGGTGATCGAAGCATATTCCATGAACCAATAATTATAGAAATTAGCTAAAAAAACTCTTACTGCTTTTTTCAGCACCTAAATTATTTCGATTATTAGTGGTTTTTCCATTAAAGCAAAGTGAATTATTAATAATTTTATCCAAAAATTAAATAGACGCTGAATTTGCTTTTAAAGTAGGTCAAACGTTTTTTTCTTTTTCTAATTTTAAGTACTTTTGTTTTTGTAATTAGGTGTTATCTGATACTCCTCAGTCCTCGGTACACTTTTAATTGTCATGGTTTCCTATTTTAGAGTCAAACTATAAAAACTTTGACTAATATTTTACGATATTTTTTCATCATATTGATATGCAAGAAATAGCAATTTATAGTACTTTTTGTATAGTTTTTGAATATCTAATTTTTTTGTTTAAAATATCGAATTAAGTTAATCTAATTTAACTTTGAAAATTAGTTAAATTAACTTTCGAAAAGTGCAACATGACAAATAAAAGTGGACGGATATAATAATAAACATACAAAGTATTAAGTATACAATAGGTCAACATTACATGAAAATAATTAAAAGGAAAGATGTATATATTTTTTAAAGTAATCAATGCCTTAAAAAAATCTCCATCACTCTAGATTAAATTCATATACTAGTCGAATGGTGATAAAAAGTCATACTGCTTGATTGCGCAAAATTTAATGTATGTTGTTGCCTTGTAGGCATCCATGTAATGGGGTCCAAACATAGTCGTCTCATGGTAAATCGGGTGAATAGAAAAAAGACTGAATCTGAGTAAAAGGGGTGAAATTCACAAGGAGCCGTTTTCAAGATGTCTTTTTAAGGAATGATTGGAATTTATAAAGTAGTTGTCCCAAATTCAACTTTGGACAAAATTATTGATTTGAAATTAGGTTATGTCAAAGTTTAACACTTTAACTCTACACTTCAAGTTTGAAGTTTGAATGAAACTTAAATTTAGATCTTAAATTTGTCAAAATTAAGTAATATTTTTTTTAATAAGTTAAACAAATTTAATGGTGTATGAAATGATATTGATTTGAGAGGTAAAAAGAAAATAATATCTTTGGGCATAAATGTTGCTGGATACTGATGATAATAATAATAATTATTATGGGTAATTATGTTGTTTAGCATTAGAAGCATAAAAGGCAATTGATCATGGGCTTATAGTACTAAAAACAATTACTTTGTCTATATAGCCACTAGACAAAAATCTCAACTTGAACCATCCAATCTCATATTTTAATGTGAAAACACAAACAAAAGAGGCCAATATTTATGTCTTTTTCCTTAAATTAATATAGAATTTGTTAATACGCATTATCACATATATTATCTATCTTTTCCTTTCTCTTTTGAGGTGATACTTTGTGGGCGACAATACCAAAATTTCTTCTCTTCTTTCTTTTATAAAAATCACAATTAAAATAGGGAGAATGCGATAGGCAATTATTAGTAGGAGAGCAAAGAAGTTGAGGATTAGGATAGACAGTTACTAGTTAGTTCAACATCTACTCCTTTTTAGTGGTAAAACAGAGTTTTAGTCTGAAGCATCTATTTGTTTCTTTACTGGTAGTATTATTATTGTGCTAGGGAGCTTGGTTCGAGATAAAAAAAAGTCTTAGGATCAACTTGAAGTGACCAAGATTAATTAAGGGCCTGTTTGGAAGGATACTCTGGTAATTAGATTTGATGTAATTGGTGTAATTACATTGTCTTGTCCTGTTTGAAAGGACAGGTAATTACTTGGTCAACATGTAATTAGTGTAATTGGCAGGAGGTAATTACACTCTACAATTCACAGGCAGAAGTTGTGAATTGCTGGTGTAATTACCACTTGATTACTTTTTCATTTTTTTTAATTTCTATTTTTATTTTTTTTGTTTTAATTTTTTTACTTCTATTATTTTAATTTCTTTTTTTTTATTTTTATTATTCTAAAAATTTGTAAAAGTCTATTTTTTATTTTTTATTATTATATTTCATTTTATTCTTGTTCTCAACCTTACTTTACGTGATTCTATGTAATTTTCTCGTATTATCTATTTCTTTATGTCATGCTTATTTTCTCATTAGCATAATTTTATTAGTATTCTAATTTTTAAATTAAAATAGAATTTATTGTTAAGTAAGGTTATAGACTTACGTTTTCTTTATTATGAAGAAATAAAAATAAATCATATTTATTGCTATGTTGAAATTTGTTATAAGAGTATTATGTTAAATTTTTTGTTTTGAATTTATTACTTGTGTTATAGTTTCGGGTTTTTTTTTTTTTTTTTAATGAAATGTAATCATCAAAGAGAACTAGGACTGGATGAAGTGCTTTGGATCTACCTCTGGAGCATTATTTAGCAGCATCTGTGTCTTGCCTTACAAGTAGAATATGAAATACGACTGATTATTCGTCTACTCTGTTAAATGACAACACTGGATTTTTTCTTAAACAGGTCTATGTCTATG